ACACTCAGGAATAATTATTTTTGCTGAACTCCTGGATATGCCCAGTGTAACCAAAACCAGGAGTCATTCATTGTTCTCTAAGACACAGGGAGATCATGCCTGCATGGGTTACTAAGTTTTATCATGTGATCTTGCCTGGGTAATGACAGAGACCAGAGACTTTGGTCTAATGCTACAAAGAGAAGAATCTTCTCCCAGAGTCCCCCGCATAGCTGCCCTGGAACAATGACCTCATCTGGCAAACCAGCACCACATCTGGAGGAGAGATGATAGCCCTGAAGCCAAACCCCCCACACACACACACACACGGACACACAGTCAACTTGAGAGCTGTGAAAGGTAAAGCTGCCTGGTAAAATCCAAGGCACTGGGTGAAACTTGAATTCCAGACAAACAGTACATAATTGTTTTAATTTAAATACCAGTCTTTGCACGGGGTACACTTACGCTAAAAAATCAGCCTTTGTCTGAAATTCAAATTGATCTACAGATTCTATTTTGGTTTACCAAATTTGTTAGTACCCGGTGTGGGTCCCCACCATGACTGCCTTCTGCCTGTGTCCCAAAAGTTGATACAAAAAGGAAAGAATCATATTATACCAAACAATACTCATCCCACTTTCTGAATAAATAGAACTTGTACTTTGCTTTAACAATTGTTTTTCAAATCAAGCTTTCGAGTTGTTGTTTGTTTGTTTGTTTTTTCCTTTTGGTCTTCCCGAGATGTGGTCCTGTGTATCATGCTGGCGCTTCTACTTCCTGTCAAAGGCCTTTCCAATCTGTAATGCAGGAAATTCCAGATGCCTTCCTTTTCTGTCTGCATTTCATGAAAATAGGATTGAAGGCTCGCTGGCAGAAGCCCCTCGGCTGCCTCCCACCTGTCTGCTGTTCTCCCTGCTATTCCCAGGAGAATCCAAGCCTTCGGGTGGTTGTCTTCCTCCAGTCCAGGGAGCTTCACTCTGGGAAAGAAGGGCAGAAGGAACGGGGCCGCAGCACAGACGGTGCTAATTGGAGCAAAAGATTTGCCTACTGGAAATAGTAACTGTGGGCAAGCTTAGCTCCCTGGAACCCTCGGACCCTCCAGGGGCTGAACTCCAGGATGGCTCCCAAGGAACGGGGAGCCAAGATTGAATCCCTACAAGGAAATGCAGAAAAGACTCAAAATAAATCAACTAACAACAATAAGAAGAAAATTAATGGCTGTGTTTTTAAATTCTGTGCGTGTTACAGGCTTATTCCAACAGGAGACATGTTTATTTCCCAGCCTTGGGGCCTGCTGATCAGGTCAGTTCAGATTTGCCTCCTACCACCTGTTAGCATTATCCTGGTTCCTGAGTTGGGGAATCCACGGATCACTCTGCTGGGCCAGAGTCTTCTAAACTCCATCTTCCCCAGTCTCAGAAGCCTCCTGCTCTGAGACAAGCCCACCTGTGAATACAGAAGCATACAGATACACCTTCCTGTATAAGCTGTCACCTGTGTGCATCAGCCCTACCAGGCACACTATGGGGAATAGGAAACATCTTTTATGCAGTGAAGTGATTTTCTCTGAGATATTGAGAGATGGAGTAGTAAAAATATGAACTGGGAGTGACAGCCATCTCCATTAACTATAACTGTTGGTCTCTTCCTTTAGCTTCAAACTGCCCCTCAGGGCCACGAAGACTGCACTGATTAAGTCCACCCTGTATAATAGTGTGCTGCTTTGAATGATAATAGTTTGAATGTTTAGTCCCCAGTTAGTGGAACTGTTTGGGAAAGATTAGGTGTGGCCTTGTTGAAATAGGTGTGGCATTTGAAATAGGAGATTTGTCACTGGGGATGGGCTTTGTGGTTTCAAAAATCCACACAAGGCCCAGTGTTTCTTCCTCTGCCTTCCCACCTGCAGATCAGGATGTAACCTCTCAGCCCATGCCTGCTTATCTGCTACCATGCTTCCTGCCATGGTGATCATGGACTAATCCTCTGTAACAGAAAGTCCCCAGTTAAATGTTTTCTTTTATAAGAGTTACCTTGGCCGGGCGGTGGTGGCGCACGCCTTTAATCCCAGCACTCGGGAGGCAGAGCCAGGCGGATCTCTGTGAGTTCGAGGCCAGCCTGGGCTACCAAGTGAGTTCCAGGAAAGGCGCAAAGCTACTCAGAAAAACCCTGTCTCGAAAAACCAAAAAAAAAAAAAAAAAAAGAGTTACCTTAGTCATGGTGTCTCTTCACAGCAATAAAACAGTAACTAAGACAACTAGAAAACAGGATTCAGAAAAAAAGACATCCCCAAGTGGGTTTTAACTCATCCGTGGGACCTCCCTTCCTGCCTTATTCTCTTTGCTAGCACATCAGCCAGATGCTGAGGAAAAATGACATGGGACCAAATTTGAAAGCTGTCACCAATGATATAAGGATTAGACAGAATCACCTCTTTTATAATAAATAAATATCAAATAGTAACGGTCATATTGAATTAGTAGGACAAGGACAAGAGCTTCAAGTGCGTCACCTGGGTAAATGTACAGACTGCATCCTGCTGGATGACAAATGAGTCTAGAACAGATTTCCAAAAAGGAAAATCAAAGTATTCCAGATCAAGTAGCTCCTCTGGCCCTCTTATTCATTTGGCCATTAAATAAAGACTTCATACTGTGTTTTATTGTCTGTGGCTGAAATGTTGAGTTGGAGATGTTCTCCCTCTTCTTAAAGCCTCCATGGTAAGAAGCCAGGGGTGGGGCAAAAGCTTAGTTGGCAGGGTACTTGTCTCATGAGCACAAATCCCTAGGTTCAGTCTCCAGCACCACTCATAAAACCAGACAAGGCCATCCTGGGATGCGTGAGACGTTATCTCACACAAATAAATGATCCAATGAATAAATGATCAAACCAAATAAAGAACACCGCAGGGTGTGCTGAGTGATTTGAAGAACATAAAACTAAATGATGAAATACAGGGTAGTTGAATCGCTCTGTTAAACTGGGTATGAAGAAAGGCCTGTTGAAGGAGGTAACATTAAACCTGAGAACCACCCAAGAGAAGAAGCTGGTTCTGGGGAAACGGGAAAAGAACATCAGCCTGATGGAGGAGGTGTGGCCTTGTTGGAGGAAGTGTGTTACTAGGGGTGGGCTGTGTGGAGGCCTGTGTGGAGGCACAGGGGTTAGAGTAGAGGAAGCTGAATGAGCAACTTGGAAAAGAAAAGGTTTATTTTGGCTAACAGTTTGAGGGTGCTGTTCATCGTGCTGGAAAAGGCATGGTGGCAGAAATGTGAGGCAGCCGGTCACAGTTCACCCTTAATCAAGAAGCAACAAGAGATGAATGCCGGTACCCAGCTGGCTTCCTTCTTTTTGCTCAGCCCAATACCCCTTCTCCTGGGATGATAGAACCTACAGTTAGCACGGGTCTTCCCAGAAAATGGCTAAACCACAGGAAGCCTGACATGGGATGAGCTAGTAGACCAAGGTCTGGAGTAGGTATCCCATTCTCAGTATGAGACACTGAGAGGCTCTGGGAAGAGAAGTAAATTATTTTACTTCTAAAACTCCTTTGTGGCTTTGTGAACAATTGATTTAGGTAACAGGTGGAGGCAAGGAGATAAGTTAGAAAGCCTTAAAATATTTTCAGTTGTGAAGATCATAAACTGTCATGGGTGAACAGAGAACAATTTAGAAGGATGCCGGTTCTGTTTCTTAAGCAAAGTCAGTAGGATTTTCCAATAAAAGATACACAAGGAAATTTAAAACGAGATAATTTAGGATTAGGACTCAGCTCGGTTAGGGAAATTAAGTATACCATGAGGCTATTTATTGAGACAGGGAGACAGGGGAAAGAGAGATCAAAAGAAGAAATCAGGATGTCAAAGTTCTGAGATATAGGAAGCCGAGGAAAGACAGTTGGATGTAGAAGTCTAATAGTCATGGGGAAGGCTGGGCCTGTACCTCCTGGTTTTGGTGTCATCTCTGTAGAGTTGATAATTATAAATGTAAGACGGGGAAATTTCCCTCAAAAGAGAAAATGTAGCTAAAGGAGAAAGGTGAGATGGTACTTCAGCTGGTCTGACATGAGGGGAAGAGGAGCTAGTGAAAGTAGATGATGTACAAGCTGTGAAGCAAGCCGATAATCTGGAGCATCTAGAATCTGCAAGCACTTCAGGCTAAAGAATGCAAGGTTTCCTGGAGAAAGTAGTACTTAATCCCAAGCCTTGGGAACTAGAAGGGAATTGGAGCTGTGTAGAGCAATTCAGGACCCAAATGGATGCAGATGTGTGAGCAAAGACTTGGAGTAGGGCAAAGAGAGTGAGAGAAGAGGGAGAGGTAATGGCAGCAAATATGACTGCCCATGTTTGGGGACCCTCAAGGAGAGTCAGAGACAAAGGCTACGTGAAAACCAAGGGGGATCCAAGGCTGACTATGTCTTCTATGACTCATTGTCTCCCCTGGGCCGCAGACCCTTTAAATACCCAAGGGTCAGCAGCAGTCTCCAGCACGACTGCTTCCTCCCTCCTCTGACGAATCCGCAGCAGAGTAGCTAAGAGAACCATCCTGGGACTGGGCCTCTCTTCCCACTGTGCAGCCAGTCCATCAGCTGCCCTACAATCCAACCCCTCTTCACTTCCATCTGCTTCAAGGGAGGAATGCCTCAGGGAGTCTTTAACTCCAGAATTCAGGAAATGAGCTCCACTTTAAGTTCTCATCTCTTCAGCCAGCTTTCTGCAAACCCCAGTCTGCCCCACATTAAGGTGTTCCTAATTAAAGTCCTTTCCTCATCCCGCTGTACACAAAGGTGCCTGGTTTCCCAGCTTCCCTCCTCACCTGCTTCTAAGAGTCTGATGAACAGTTTGGTTTTCTCTACATTCTGCTTGTTTTTGGTTTTGTTTTTTTTCAGGAAGCTTACATTTTGCCAAGATGAAGAATCTGGATTTCAATCTAGACAAGCCCACCCCTCATCTGAAATGTCTCTTGACACCTGTTAAATGGTTTAAAAGATAAATAAAATAATACAAAACTCTTTTTATCCTGAGGTGAAGAGCAAGAAAGGATATTAAATTAAGCCCAAAGCAATGTCTTGAACTGCCCGGCGGTCCGCATCCCCAGAAGAGAACCTGCTCTCAACAGGGAGACAATAATGGATGGGCACAAGCAGACTGATATGGCTCAGAGAAAACTTTCTGGAATCAGAGGCAGGAGGGATTGACCATTGGCATGTGAGTATCTTCAACCTAATTCCAGTGTAAATGATGCTTCCTCAAGTATAGAGAGAAAGAAAGAGGTGGAGAGAGAGAGATGAGGGGACAGACAGAAAGGATTCCACCTGGAATTATGTCTTCAAATCAGGAGATTATATACATGAAACATCCAGTTCTTGCTATTAGAGGACTCTCAGATGCAACTCCTTCAAATACACATGTTTCTTCTGCTTTTAATGAAAGGAATCCCTGGTGTGCATGGTGTGGGGGCTGGAGAAATGGCTCAGCAGTTGAGAGTATATAGTGTTCCTTCAGAATGCCCAGGTTTAGTTCTTAGCACCCACAAACCAGGTAACAACCACCTATAACTTCAGTATCAGAGATCTGATGTCATCTTCCTCCATAGGCTCTGCATGGAGGAATGTGGAACCAGATATACATGCAGGCAAACACTTGAACTTCCCAGAGGTTTGCGTCCCCCATATGTATATTTATATGCATAAAATATAAATAAACCTTTTTTAAAGAAAGAATTGTGCTTCCTAACACCTATCATATACCCACGTCTGCCTAGACCTCTCACCCACATTGCCACTTGATTTGGCTCTCCTGATGAGCTGACTCCATGTGTCGGGGACAAGCTGCTCAGGTTTTGCCTTTTTGTTCTGTCTCCTGGCTCTAGCTATTCAGCTGTAACCATTTGCACATGTTAATGCCTTATTTGTGTCTGTTCTTAGGCCTTTTAAATATGTATGTGTGTCCTAAATCCTGGCCCTTGGCAGAAACCACATCTCTCAAATTAGGCCAGGAGGTCTGGGGCTCCCCAGGGGACAGCCTGTTTGTCTTCCCACTGACTTGAGACACCTGGTGAGGGTGTGCCTGTCAACCCACTTATGCCAGATACTGCAAGAAGGCTGAAGCCTTGACTACTATTTCATTGGGACCCTCTAATTCATATTAAGACTCAGCACAGAGGATGTATTCAATAGACAGGGTAAGACTGCCTAGGGTTGGGCTCACAACTTTCCATCTAGGCACTGAGATTGCCGTTGGTTTGAATAAGAATGACCTCCAAGGGCTCATATAGTTGAATGCTCAGTCACCTGAGGGTGACACTATTTGAAAGGATTAGAAACATTAGGAGGTGTGGCCTTGTTGGAGAAGCTATGGCCTAGTTGGAGAAAGTGTGTCACTGAGGGTGGCTTTGAAGTTTCAAAAGCCCATTCCAGGTTCTCTCTCTCTCTATCTGTCTCTGTCTCTGTCTCTCTCTGCTTGTGGATCAGGACGTAGCTTTAAGCTACTGCTCCAGTGCCATATGTGCCACCATGTCCTCTGCCAAGATGATAACGGACTAAACCTCTGAAACTATAAGCAAGCCCCCAATTAAATGCTTTCTTTTATAAGAGATACCGTGGTCGCAGTTTATCTTCACAGCAATAGAACAGTCACTAAGACAGAGATGCTGATCAGTCCTCTGTTTAACCAGTGTACACAGAAAGACAGTTTGTCACAAAGACCCAACCTTAGCTTATGCTCTGTAACTAGGGTACAAGACACAGAGATAAGTGACTGCCTGCCCAATTAGTATCAGAAGCATCAGGAAAAGCCCTCACATGTACCTAGACCTTGTCCATCTGCTAATTAATGTATGCATTCTCATCTATAAGATAAGACACAGTGGGAAAATCTCCTCTGGAAGATGACAAGCTGACTCTGACATTGACCACATAGTCTATAAAATGTCAGTGTCTGATTCTGGAGTCTCTTTAAAGAAGCGGCTGCACTTTAGAAGATCTAACCTCAGTAAAGGTATATGTGAAATGGTCTAAAGGACAGAGGATCATGTAACACCCAGGGGATCAAAATTGGACACTTAAACTGTATTATTCAGAGACTTCTGAGGAAATGGAACTCTCAGAGATAGGTAGGTAATGATGATAGGTAGATAGATATGAGATAGATGAATAGATGGATAGATAGATAGATAGATAGATAGATAGATAGATAGATAGATAGACACACAGACAGCAGCAGACAGATAGAAGATGTATGCATACCTATGTACAAAGGTATGATGATTTAGTATGAGAAATGACTGGCATAATTCTGGAAGCCAAGAAATCCCACAATCTGTCATCAGCAAAATGAAGAAACTGGGTGGCCAGCACTGATGCTCCCAGTCTGAGACTGAAGAACTGAGAAGCCAGTAGAAAAACTGGTACAAACCCCCAAATTCAAAGATCCAAGAACCTTGATTCCTGACATCTGGAGGCAGTAGATCATACAGAGAATAGAGCGATTCATCTCTCCTTTGCCATTTTTGCTCTTTGGCCCTCTGTTCATTGGACAGTGCTCATCCAGGAAGGTGAGAGGAAGTCCTGTTCATATATTTATGTAGCCCACTTACTCAAGTGCTAACCTTTTCCGGGAGCATCCTCACAGATGTACCCCAAAATAATCTTTTATCTACTATCTGGAACTCCCTTAATACCATAAATTAACCATGACCATTTCCCAACTTCCCTGGCTCCTACACTTTTGTATTTATTATTTTTTCTTTTAGTCACATCATCTTTCACTCAGCATACAATAAAGAATATCTGTAAGGTTGTGAAGTGAGAAGGAAACTTTCTATTAAGAAAAGTAAGATCCCTGGATAAGTGGCTAAGAAATATAGTGCATGGTGGCCTGGGATAACTCCTCTAGCTGGAGCATCCCTACCCCATCCTTCTCTGTGGAGCATCCACACCACTCTCATTGCTCAGCTCAGACAGGGTATTTGAGTAGATTGTGGGCCAGCAGTATTTGTAGTGAGTGGCCAACAGTTTGTTCAAGGAAAAGAGTTGCTCCTCTTCCTGTTCCAGGCACTTATGACGGAGTCCAACATGGTAAGCAGTCAGTGTGTACTAGAGAGAGAACGACAAGCATGGGAAGGACTGTCCTAGACTGTGCTCTACAGAAATCAGTCTCTAGACGGAATTCATTAAAGGTTTATTAGGGAACAAGGCTAAAAAGGTCTCCTGTGAGGGAATGAGGGAAGGAGAACTGGGCAGAGGAGTTGGGGCTCAAAGGGCTCTTGGGTATTACTCATCTTTGTAAATCATCATTTGCTAGGCTATGCATGGGCCTCCTCAGTGTACCAACACCCCCTCCAGCTCAGGAAAAGAGGACTTCAGAGCTTGGTGGGGAATTTGGGATGCCTCACACCCACTGCAAAAGCTATGAAGAGACGAGGCAATGGAAAAACACATCCTAGAAAAGAGCCAGAGACCCAAATCAGGTGCCCTGTGCTCTAGACGACACTTGTTTTTTTAAATCTTGGACATTTCATCAATCTTCTCCAGCCAACAATTTCTTTATTTATAGAATCCAAATATGGATTAAACCAGTATTTATAACTGTTGGCCTCACATTAAAATTACCTAAGATGTTTTTTAATTACCAAATTCTGGCTCTATCTTAGTAGCAATTGAATCTCAGTGATTGAAGAACCAGGTGTCAGTGTTTTCAAAAAACCTCTCTGGTGATTGAAATGGGCATATAGCTTTGAAAACCAATGGAGGATGGATGCACGCTCCATTGAGACTCTGCTAAATTGATTTCTAATGCCAATGCTACGTAGGCAAGAGAAAACCCCCTTTGTACAGAAAGAACAAGGCTATTTCTGATTGCAGAAACCTTTCAAAAAGTCTCTCCTTGTTTGTTCTGAATTGTGTCTCTTCACAAATCCACACAGTGAAGTCCTGACCCACTTACCTGAAAATGTGACTGTGTTTGAAGACAAGACTTGGAATGAAGTAAGTTGAGGTCATTAGAGTGGGCTGTACTACAGTCCAACTGTTCTTCTCATAAGAAGTGTTTAAGATGCAGATATTTACAGAAGAGTCTTTGCGAAGCCACAGTTGTCTAAAAGCTATGCAGAGAGGCCTTAGAAGAAACTAACCCTGACATCACCTTCATCTTGAACTTCTAGCCCCCCGAATCATGAGAACACAAATGTCTGTTGTTTAGGCCACCTACTCTATGATATCTATTGACTGCCCTAGCAAGCACACATACTTCTCAACCCCCTTCCTTCCCTGAGTCTCTCCTCTACATTTGTTCCTTTGTTTCCTACAGAGTAAGGAGTTCATGAATATGCCCTAAAGCAGCATCTCCTCATAGGTTCAAATGCTGGTGCCATAGCACAGAGCTCTGCTGTACATGACTGTTCTCATCATCCTCCTTGGACTTTTTATCTCCAGTCTGTCAGCTCATGAGCTGATTTAAGGCCTTCCAAAACAGCCAGTCCCCTTAGCCCATCCTTAGTAAAATGATGGAGGGTTTGTAAGGGAAATAGTACAATTATAAGTTGTTCTTTTTTATGTGTGGTAGTGGTCTACAGGTAGTTGTAGAGAGTCAGCCATCCTCGAACTATCCTTCCTACCCAGCCATGGGCAGCACAACCATCCAGGGGTTTCTTATGATGTAAGTCAAAGCCTCTGTAAAATCCCAAAACAAATCCATCATGTGCTGTTTCTCCATGTGGTCATTTTATCTTTGAACTTGGCCTCTGAGCTGCTTTGGTTAATGGTTGTTAGGAAATGATTAGAGCATTGACCTCTGTGTGGGTGAGGGGGGAGAAATGATGGACTTAAAAAATCCCTGCTAGCCAGGCGGTGGTGAGGCATGCCTTTAATCCCAGCACTCAGGAGGCAGAGCCAGATGTATCTCTGTGAGTTTGAGGCCAGCCTGGTTTACAGAGCAAGATCCAGGACAGGCACCAAAACTACACAGAGTAGCCTTACCTCAAAAAAACAAACAAAACAACAACAACAAAAAATCCCTGCTCTGCACAAAGACTGTCTTATTAACAATACCAGTCTCTAGGTCTTTCTCGTGTCATCAAAAATCCACACATACACCCCCAAAAAGAAAAAAAACTAAAAAGGAAAATTTACTTCCTAACCTAGGCATATTTGTCACTTTTCATGGCTGTGACAAAATGTTTGAAAAGATCCTTTAAGGAAGAAAGAATT